GGATTATTATTCTAAGAAAGGGAGCATCATCAAGAAAGAGATAATAGATGGTGGTGGCCGGTGGGTGAAAGAGAACATGTGGTTCCAGATGGCCGCCAATGCATCGCACCTCGGATACTGGACCCAAAAATGGAACGAGAAGCGGATGCTGTGGAACAATGGCCGTCGTCGATTTCAAAGAACCTTTTTTTCTTTAATCTCTCTCTCTCTCTCTCTTAAATCTACATCGACTGCTGCCCCACAAAAATCTGAGTCTTGGGCTGTGACTCAAAAAATCTCACTTGGGCTGAAGCCCAAAAAGATATCCTTCGGGCCCTTTTTTGGTACAAAGAAACTGTTGAAAAAAACATTGCCCTCAATCAATGTTGGCTCCAGCCCATGTCTCTGAATTCTCAAATAATACCAAAATATAAAATGAAAAGAAAAAAAAAAAAAAACCAAAAAAGAGAGATAAGGAAGTAGGACACTGATAAATGATGCACCAAAGTGCTGTACAGAAATTAGACTTGAACAAATGGTTTGTCCTTTCTTTTTTTTTTTTTTATTAACCTGTTGATATTGGTATCCAATAACTATATTAGATCTCGATTAATTTTGAATCGAGTCATATCAAATTTTTATAAAATAAGGCTCTCTCAAAACCTTATTTCTCTATTTACAAAATTTTAAATTCAAACTCAAACTTCATTTAAAAGAAATTGAATTCATTTTACTTAAACTAATAAATTATTAATACAAATAACTTATCTTTAATAGGATATGAACTACACCTACCCTTTTCTTTATGAAATATGCTCCCACTTTTACTTGTGCGACTAAACTTCGTTTTGGTGTCCAATCAGTTAGATAAGGACATTGCTACAATTTTCTCGGGTCTCTTTCTCTCCTTTTAACTTTTTTATTCTTTTAGTAAATAAAAAATTAACTTTTTAATACAATGAAAGCATTTAAACTCAATCTCAAATTAAAATTTTTAATTTAATAAATACTAATTCAATCAAATTTTTAATGATATCTTTTTACCTCTTTAATTTATAAACATCTCCTTTATTCCAAAATTTTATATTGATTGTACTAGGAAAAGCATTAAAGTAGCGCAAGACCTAAACGCAAGCAGAGCATGTTTGATTTTCTTCTTGAGCAACAATAATACAACTTGCTTTTCCAGTAAACTATCATTTCTTCCATTATAATTTATATATTTCTGTTCCTTGATCTTGACCAGACGTGGCCCTTTCATTTCAAATCCCCGTCAGTTCTCCGTAGGCATTTGAGATACATCCTGTTTTTTTTTTTAACAATGAAAAATTTTTTCGACCAAAAAGAAAGGAGACCTAATATTAGAATATCGATCTTGATAATTCTAAGTACATAAAAAAAAAAAGTCAGTAGGCCGTCAAGCACTAGACGAGATACATCCTGTATTAATATGAACAAAAGAAAAAACATGTATATATACATATATATATATATATATATATGTTGGAATTCATTTGAATATGTTCTTGCTTTTCAAAAAAAAAAAAAAAAAGAATATGTTGGTGTCTCTCTATCAAAAAAAAAAAAAAAAAAAGAATATGTTGGTGTCTCTCTATCAATATAATTAAATCTTATCCGAAGATAGCCACCGTTCATTGAAATTGGGGGGAACAGCACGCCGACATTAGCAGAGGTTTTATCAACATTAATCTAAAGTTAGCGGCTGAATTTCGCATAAGACGACAATATAATGCATATGATTACTTTATATCTCTTAATCTACGTTTGATCGGGATCTAATCAACTGATTAAAGATTTTATCTCAATCATTAATAATGAATGCATATATATGGTCTTAATAATTAAGGGTTGGACTAGAAAGTGTAGGAAGGGCAAGAAACTAGGAGAATCGCAAATTCTGCTTCACAGTAGCATATGATTGGATGTGATCATGATTGATACAAATTAATCATGTCGATGGGCTTGTGTAATTAGGACAAGTTGAGTCCATGTGCCCGTAGCTCACATGCCCCTGCTCACTGCCCTTTCCTCAACCATTCTTCTTTCTTAAGACCGAGGTTTCATGACACATGCTCTGAACATATATATATATATATATATATTATATTACTATTGTCTGAAAATTTTCGTGTTTATTTCCCAAAAGTTTTGTGAAAGATGGGTTTCATACACAAGGCATGTCCTTTTGGCTCCACGTTGGCTTTAGTTTATTCTTGTTCTTTATATATCATAAAATTTCATAAACCTTTGTTCATTATGTCACATATATGTCCTAAAAATGGAAGTGCATGTCTATCTTTCATAATGCCCCATCCATATTGTACAAAAAGCATTTTGTAATTTGAAAACATTTACACACCAATTACAAAGGCGAAAGCAAACTTGATGGTCCTTAACCTATATATTGTTCTTTTCTGTCTATAACTCTACGTGCCTTTTTTCAGTATTTGTAAATCGCTCTGATCACATATGCTATACAAATTTTTACTCATAAGTGGAAGGTGTGCCTTGTTTGTACTCTCAAAAATTACATATAACTTACTTGTAGTTTAAGATGAGTAAATTTAAAGGATTGTGGTATTGAAATGTGCACTTAAAGACCTACTTTTTAAACATGGAGTATTAAACTACTCAAGCCATCCAAATACGGTTAAAATTATGTGCAATATCTTAAATACCCTTAACTTAAAAAAAAAAAAAGAAAAGAAGAGAAAATGCTCAGCCATCACACAAACTCTCTTTCATAACAATTTTTAAATATCGACTCAAATGAAGATGAAAAAAAAAAAAAACTCTTTGCAAGTAATCGAACAAAATCTTTTAATTTATTATAGTTTATATTCCAAAGTGAAACATTATTTCTAATTTTCTTTTATCAACTTTTTTGTGTTTAGTTGAAAATTTTGTTGCTTGTTTAGGATTTAAAAAGTGAGGATTTCATTTGAAAATTAAAAGGTTCTACCTTGGTTATCTGCAATTATAAATAGTATATTCTTAATTTTATGCATATTTACTTTTAATTAGTTTTAACAGTACATGTTAATTATGAATATTTTATACATGTGCAACTTAATTTTTTTTTTTTTCAATTGAATTGCGAAAGTAGTTTGAATATGGTTAGTTAAAATGAATGAATGAATTAATTAATTATTATCATTTTTTTTATGTATTTTGGCAAATGAATAGTAATGAGTTGCCAAAAAATGATGAGAATGTAAGCGGTTTTAATGAGTCAAACCAACTACAATTTAACTTTTAGTGCTAGGTAAGATGGTAGTGTTAGGTAGGAAGGGCGTTAGAGGAATTAAGAAAACAAGTAAAGTTTTCCGTTAAGTTTTTAATGGCAAAAGTGTCTAACTACTCTTATTTTAAAACACAGGTTTTTAAGTGCACATTTTGATACAACAAATCTTTAAACGCACTCACCTTAAATCACAAGTACGTTATGTGTAATTTCCCCTCTTTTTTTATCATCAAAAGAAAAAAAAAGGAGGAAAATATTTAATACATGGAACTTAATTTAGTTGTACTGAAGTTTGATTTAATAAAAGCTGGAAGGACTGAGTAGGTTAATACAAAAAAATACGAATGCAGTCCATCGAGAATCTTTCTAACTCTAAAATTACAAGATTAAATACTAAATTAATTGGGTAGTTATTAATTACCACTGTTTGTTTATTAAGATCCTAGACGGGGAGAGAATACCCAACAAAATTTAATTATTTTGTTAACATTTCTAAAACCTTTTACATTTAACAATGTTGGATAATAGATTCTCGACCTTTACTAACGCTCTTGCACATGACTGTCGCTATCGCGTAACTATTTATGATCTTAATTTTTTTTTTAAAAGGGCATCACTTTAATTAAAAAAGTGGAATAATTCAATTGGTTTTTAAGGAAGAAAAATCAACAACAATGGTTGGTGGGTGAACATGAACTAAAGTTCTAATATAGACGAAAACCTTCCCCACAACTCTATATATTTTTGTATTATTTTTTTCAACTTTCGTTAAATTAGAATTAATTAAGGAAAATTTGTTGTTAATAGTCATCTGCTGGTTGAATACATGCTTTGTTTTGCTTGAAATGGACATAACAACCTTTTAGTTGGTACCTGAATGTGGAGGTTGAAATATGGACAAAATTACTGGCATACCACACTGTTAGCACTTCAGATATAAGCGTTCCCCTTCAAGACCATGGCCATATATATTAAAAAAATTATATGGTATAGATGTTTCGAATTAGAGCTATATCTTTTTTAGTTAGGGTTTTTTTTATATATCTCAAGATTAATTTTTTTAATGAATTTTAATAATACATTTCTTATATCAATTTAATATATTTAATAAAATTAATTTCTTTAATTATTAATTTCAAAACTTGAGACCTAAATTTAATTTATAAACCAACACTTATATACTAATAACTTCAATCCTTTAAGTTTCAAATTAGAGCTATAATATTGAGGTGGAATGGAAAAAGGACAACATAATGTTATTTCGAATCTTGTATTCCACACCAACGACGGACTTTTAGAATGATAAAAATTAGGTAAGTATATAATTTACTTAAAAGATTGAGAAAAGTTAATTTTTAAGCTTGATAGATAAAAAATGCCTATTTGATTTGAAAAAAAAACATATTATTAATAGATCAGTGTTGCACATAGATTTATTAATGATATCTTATTCATTTTAGCTCGATCTGACATATTTTTTTGTCAATTTAAATTGAAAAATACCAATCAATTTCTCTAAGAAAAACAATTTTAAAATAGGAGTATGCGCTTAGTCTCTCGCTTTAATTGTGTAAAAGGGGAGCAGTATTGCCCTTATAACATATTCTAATAGTTAAGGATTTAAACTTCTTATATTAAAAATTTAATTTTAATTTTAAATTTTAAAACAAGTAAAATAAAATTTGAGAATTTAAGAAAGTGTTATCTAACTAGCTTCTATTATGAACTTCATAGTTAGTTAGATTGCCATAGAAAAGAAGGGAAGCTGTTTTTAAAAAAAAGTTTGGTTAATTTGTATTTTTAAGCATATGTTAAAAGTACATTAAATATATATTTTTATTAAAAAT